GATTTCAGAGGCTTAGTGGGTCACTTCTGAGTTAAATGAATGTTGACTACGTGCTGGATAAGTTGGGAGAGCACTCATGGCTAGTTGGTTATCTTATTTCAAAGATATCACTCTCCATTTTCTGGTGTAAGTGGGAGGTGGCTGAGTTGGATTCTATTTACCTACTTGATCTGACATTTAGTCTAAGTGGTGACTAAAGGGAAGAACGTGGAGGACAAGCTGATATCTTATCTCTTGTCTATTGGCTTGTGTAGGAAATGGGGTGAAGTAAGATAACACAAGAGGAAAAAACAAGTTGGATAATTAGGAAGTGGCTGCAGCAGAAGTTTAGTTTTTTCAAGAGAGAGTTTCAGAAAAGCCAAGTGGAGAGCAAGAGAGTTCTCTAAGTGTATCAAGGTGTTGAGCAAGGGTGTGAGAGAAACAGATTGTGAGGGTAGTGTTCTAAGGGGGTTTCCTTTTGTAAACCAAAGTTGTAACCTATCTTCATTAGTGAAATTTCTCAAGGTGATCACCAAAGAGGATGTAGGCAATTTGCTGAACCTCTATAAACACTTGTGTCATTTGTGCTTGGTTAATTTCTGTGTGTGTGTGTAAGACTCATCCATCATTGAGTTCTTTGTCTAAAGTCCATCAACAACAAGATCTTTAAGGGCAGTGAGTTAGTCATTTAATTCACAACACCCTCCTCCCCACCCTCTCACGCTTTTTATAAAACTCCTCTCTCTCTCTCGTATGTGCAGCCATGTGTTTCCTATGTGTGTGTGGTGAGGGTGCAATTTTGTGATTTGCCCTATTCTTGGACTCATATGGCCTTTTATAATTTCAAGGAAGAGTTTGACATTTCTTTAATAGAAAATAGTGTAGCCGCATGGCTATACTATACTTGTTTTTACACATAGGCGCTCCGGCGCTAGGCGACTCCCTTTCTTAAATTTATAAATAGTATAGCCGTTCGGCTATACGCGGGCATTTTTTTTTTAAAAGGAAGGAAATCTTCCTATTGCGTACTTTCTTCTTTGCAAATGTTTGAACTCTGGGCATTATATGTAAGAAGGTTTATTGCCTTAAACCTACTAAAGTGATCTTCTAATCAATGAAGGATTGCAAGGACTTATTATTTATCAAGGACTCATATCCTATCTTGATTAGGCGCCTGCAATCAGTGTTTAAGGTTGTTTACAAAGGCTTAAGGTTTCCTAGTTCTATAAGGATTGGAATACATTAATTCTATCGCATGAAGGATATCTCTAAGTGTTTCTTGATGGGCAAGAAACTTATTATTTTCACCTATGTTCATCCATGGCTGCTTTTTTTTTTCTTTTCTTTTTTTCTTTTTCTTCTTTTTGCAGGGGAGATTTCGATGTTGGTGAATGGACAGGTAAGAATTAGAAAGAACAATTCTTAAATTAATTAGCAATTAATTTACATATATACATGGTGTTGTAGAAAGCTTGGTGTGTGGCAAAGCCTGCAGCACCACAACAAGCACTGCAGTCAGCTCTGGACTATGCCTGTAACTATGCAGATTGCAGCCCTACAAAGAAAGGACGTTCTTGCTATGACCCGGATAGGCCAGCGCACCATGCCTCATTTTCCATGAACGCTTTCTACCAGAAGATGGGAAGAAACCAATGGAATTGTCATTTTAACAATATTGGTCTCATTTCCTTGGCAGATCCAAGTAGGCCTTCAATTTCATAATAATAATTTGTTTCAAAAGTTCAGACTTTCTTTTTCAGCAAATTAAACATTTTGGTTCTATACCATTTTTGCAGGTTACAATCCCTGCTGCCAATTTGTGAGTGGTATGTGTCTATAACTATAATGAGTTTTGCACATTTTCATATGCAAAAATATTTGTATAACTTTACTTTCACTTTCCCTTTTGAAATTTGTAGGAGGATCAGGACCTCCACAGCCACAGAAAAAGGAGGTAACTCAAATCCAATTTCTCCCTCACAACAGTATAATTTAAACCAAGATTTCAATCATCTTAATTATATTAAAATCATTTCAAATGCTTAATTAAACTTAATTAATTACTATTATGCTGTGTTGGGTTTGCAGGATACTTGGTGTGTGCCTAAGCTAGGAACCTCAGACTCGGCATTACAGAACATCATAAACTTCACTTGTGGAATATTAAAAGAATGCAGTGAAATACAAGAACATGGTTCATGCTACTTTCCAAATACCCTCATAAACCATGCCTCATTTGCCATGAATCTTTACTATAAGACCGATGGACGCTACAATTGTGATTTCAATGGCGGTGGCCTTATTGTTGTCACTAATCCACGTATAAGCCAATTTGTTTGATATAATGCACTGCAAAATAATCTTATGTTTTCTTAACATGAATTTAGCTAACAAAGTGTGCTTATTCTTGTATATGTTGCAGGTTTTGGTGATTGTATCTATGTCTGAGTCTGCCCAAAAGGAAGATGCATCAGAATAATAAATTTATTGTAATGTAATTTCCATCTGATGGATGATGAAGAAGGTCCATTTCCTTGTGTTATCTAATCTAATAAATTTACCCCATTGAGACTGTGGACTATAGCTTGCCTAGGTCTGATGGGTTTGTGTCGAGTTGGCTTTGTATGAGACAAGCTTATGTAAGATTCGGTTTGACTTGACCTAATAATGAGTATTTAAAAACAAGATATAAATATAAAAACAAAATTTAAAGGTAAACAAGTAACAAAGAATCTAAGTACATAAACAAATGGAAGCATAATAAATATTAATGTTTTGATTGGGATGTTAAAAAGGCTAACAAGTCCAGCTTAGCAAATGAATTGGGTATATATTACTATGATATTTGTGATCACACTTATGACAAGTTTGCCACAATTTTAAGAGAGTTTGACATC